GCTTGAGCTCAGGAGTTGGAGGTTGCTGTGAGCTGTGATGCCAAGGTACTCTACCCAGGGCGACAGCTTGAGGCTCTGTCTCAAAAAAAAAAAAAAAAATTGGTGAGTATTTACTCTAGGGAAGCTGGAAGGAGGAGGGGAAAGGAATCCTGACCTGCTGAGAGTTCACAGTTCACCTCTAGTATCTTTGATACTAGAACCACAACTCCTCCTTCCCCCAGCAAACACTCAGAAAGGAGGAGTCCTGAACAATGTGCTGGTCTTTAGCATGCTTGGTCTCCCTTGTCTACATCAAGGGGGCCATCCCACCCCGTCTCACTTCTCAGGGCTTTGTTTCTGAGTCCTTCCTTAAATTCTCCCCAGTGCAACAAACCTAGGGGCCTTGTCACCACGCGACCCGGTCCTTGGGCTGCAGCTTCCTAGTCCCTCCAGAGGGTTTCAAAGGTCAACAAGGAGATGTCTGGCCACACTACTCCCCTCTAGGGGGCCAGGAAGAGAGGTTGCTTGGGGTCAGGTTCCCCTTCCTGGGAACGTCCATGTTGACCCTATACTGACCTCAGTGACCAGAGGAAAGAATCCATAGGGGATGCACAGAATTCTAGCTTTATAATGAGAGGGAAAAGTATGCAAGCCCCCAAATGAGAGCCCACTTTCTGAGGTGTCAGAGGCTGGCAGCTGTTGGGGCTCAGCTGCTATCAGAAAGAGAAAGGAGGCGCCACAAGCAGGGAGTCTCTGAGAGGAGTAGTGGCTGCCTCCTCCACCTGCCATTGGTTCTCAGGCTCCGGCCAAACTCCAAACCTGCCCAGCAACAGCCCTGAGAGGCCGGCAGAGGGAGGGGGACTTCGGGGAAGTCAGCTGAGCTGGGGCCGCGCCCAGCTCTCAGCTTCCAGGAATTGCTGGCAGCGCCCGGGTCTTGGTCACCACCTCCTAGGCCTTAAGACTGAGCCTAAGCCTTCGGTGGTGTCCCACTTCCCTGGTCCCCCTCCGTGTCGAGTCCCCTTACGGGTTCACCGCTGAGGGAGGCGTTTGACACTTCTCTGAGGCTGGGCCTTCCTTGTGGCTGCCTTACCTCACCTTGCCTTGGGCTAGTCATTTTCGCTTTCCTTGCACTTCAGTCCTTTTGGTCTTACAAATTCTTCCTTCCAAGCCACTTTCAACCCAGGAAAAGCCTGAGTCCCAAGGGCACCGTGTGGGCAGGGAAATCGTGTCTCGGGCGACCCTGGTCTCCATCACTGTGCCCAGGTTTGGTTCGCCAAGTTAAAAACTGTTTCTGCAGAGCCTTAGCAACGGTTCTACTCTACTGGAGGTGTGGAGATGGGGGCGGGGAGCTGCTGCTCTGCCCCTTCCCAGGAAGGCGGAGAGCTGTAGGGGTAGCGGAGAGGGTACAAGTTCTGGAAAAGGCTGTCCCTCTCCTGCCACCTCCAGCAAGTTATTTACCTAGAGAGAACGGGGCGGGGGCGGGCAGGGAGGGCGAGGTGCCACAGCTCACAGGAATGTGACTTTGGCCGGACATCCAGTACGGCCCCGGCTCCTCCCCCGCCCTGCCTGAGCCCCCGGAGCCCCGCCAGCCCCGCCTCCGCCAGGCGTTTCCGCAGAGGGAAGAGGGCTGGATCGCTTCCCTTTCCCCGACCGAGACGAGTGAGAAGCCGAGTTTAGGGAAATGGTGTAGCAGGGAGTATGGGGGAGACAAGAGGCAGGGCCAAAGAAAGGGAACAGGAAAAAAGACCCCCGAAAAGCCAACTGCCCTTCAGCTCAGCCCCCGATTGAAAGGAGTACTACTAGATTCCAAGAGACTTTATGGGAAGACTCAGCCCACCCAAAGCCCACCAAAGGCTGTGGAGTTTCCCCCCTCAGCCCTGGATCTGAGCTCGGAACGCCACACCTAAACTGGGAGAATTGGTGACCTCTAGTGGCCAGTGACCAACCTACAGGGCCTGGGGTTGGCCTGGCTCCTCTTCCTCTGACCGAGGCACTCGGCCTAAGGTGATCTGGACTCTTCAGTGTTCCCTTCCCGCCCTCCATTCTGATCTCACTCTGTCTAGAGGTTCCCTCGAGGGCAATGAAGAGTCTGTTTCTCATTTGTCATGATCATCTTTAATAAAAAATAAATTAGTTCTGGGGTGGCAACCATTTTGAGGATGTCGGAACTAGGGGCAGGGGTCTTATGCTAACATTGCTCTTTTCCACCCTCTGTCCAGGTGGCCCCTGCTCTGGGAAGCAGTCTCTCTTTCTAGAGTAAGACAGGGTTGGCAGTTGCTGACCCCTTTCCCTAGCTAAGTAGGGAGTCAGGGATATGGAGGGTAAAGGGAGAAGGGGTCAGAAGCAAAACGATGCGAGGCCTGAACATGAAGTCCAGGGCACAAAATTGGAGTTGATGGGGAGACCACATTAAGTAGTTTGATCTGGCAGAGAACTGCAAACTTTCTTCTCAGCCTAAAAAAGTCTCAGGGAAACAGGTATGGTCTCCTCCCCATTCCTACTCAGTCTGTGAACTTCCTTTTGAAAAGTGATACACATGTATGCACACGTGTACACACACACACACACACACACACACGCAGGCCCAGGTGCACGCCCTGGGTCATATGTGCACACATACCAGCACAGCAACACACAGACCCAATCATATGTCTTGACAGTCACTGTCCATCATCTTGCCACATTTAGTTACTCTGAAGGACATCCTTGGTTACCCAAGGGACATAGAGTGGGCTGATAAACGGGTGACCAATGGTGGTGTGAGAAAACCACAGAGAGTCTCCCGGAACCATTTCAGGAGGGCTCCGGGGAAGACCGCTCCAGGACATGGGCACAAGACCGGCAACAGGTGGCTGTGTAGTAGGGGTAGACGCAGAGCCGGGCCTGTACCACCAGAGGGCAGTGTGGAGAGCTGTCCTTGCACTGATCGTCTGGAGACAGAGGAGGTCAGTGGGCACAAGACAGACACCAAGATGCATTCGTCTGGAGATGCTGTTGCCCACCCCACTGGTTCTTTCTCATCTCCTCCCATACTTCAGCTAACTCCACTTTGTTGGGGGGTGGGGAGAGGGGGCTGTTTACCAGGGCGCTGGCTGCAGGGTTGGCTGTTACAGGGTCGTTTCCTGGAGGGTCGCAGGTGAGGAGGGCATCGGGTGCTGAGGGTCTGGTTGGTGCTCAGGCACTGGACCTCCCTTGTCTGCATTCCCCCCTGGCAGGAGCGAGAACACTGGGGAAACCCCAGACTGTATCAGACTTTTGCTGTGCTCCAGGCTCCTCCAGGCCACTGCTTCCCTCTCAGAAAGGTGGGAGGGCCCTACTGGGACATTATGAAATCCCAAATGGGGTGGCCCCACTTGTCTTCCAAGTCTATAAGAACTGGGACAATGTTAAATCTCAGTGGAGCTTTCTCTGGAGCACAGAGACTTGGAGGGGACACAGTGTGATGAGCCTCCCCACCCCCAGTTCCCTGGAGGCCCAGGCTGAGTAGGGCAAGAGAGCCAGGCACTCACAGGACTCCAGGGTGTAGCAAACCATTGGTCCTGGCAGGCCTGCCCCTGACAGGGCTGCAGGGTGGGGGGCCTGAGCAGGTGGGAACAGTTGCTAGGAGAGGTCACATTGAATTCAGTCCCCAGTTTGGACACACAGATGATGTCTCTACGCTGTGTGCCGGAACCACATTCTGAGGAGCACTGATGTGAGGGAAGGGGAGGATGTTTCAGGGGAATGGAGAATAGAGATGGCTGTCATGTACCCACATGGAGTCCCACTGGGACTGGCACCCCTTCCTGCCCCTCCCAGGCTCTTCATTCACCTCGCCCCAGGGCCCTGTGTACCAGCACCATGTCATCTCACAGGGCCCTAAGCTGCAGGCACGCATGTCGGGGGGACGGCTTCCTTGTGGACAGTTCTGTTCACTGGTTCCTGTTCCTCCTTCCTCTTGGTCTGGCCCAAGGGCCTCCCCACTCCCGAGGCAGACCACAGACCGCCGCTGGATCCCAGTCCCACACTCAGCAGAGCACTGGTGAGAAGGGAGGCTGCTGGTGACTGGAATGGGCAGGGGCTTAAGGATGAAAGCATCCTGGGTCCTGATCCTTGAGTTAGGGAACCTCTCTGGGTACCAGCCATGTGTGGGGACTCTTATCAGAGGTCTAGGAACCTCATGCTTTCGTCACTGATCTCTGAGTTTCCAGGGTCAAGCACACAGTAGGTGCTTGCTCAGTCAGTAAAAGTTTATTGAGCTGTGTTGGGAAGACTGAGAGATGTCCTGGGTGTGGTCATCCGGGACACAGGACTGGAGGAAACCTCAGCTATATCCAACTTTTACTCCACCCCAGCTCCTTAACCCCAGCCCCAAGGGCCCCCCACTCCCTAGGCAGACCCCAGTTCCAAGCCCACCTTTGAGCTCCAGTCGCTGTGGAACCAGGCTGTGGTGCAGGGCCCCATGTCACAGGCCTCTCTGCTGGGGGGTTTTGAGGGACCCAAAGCGCACTCCTGCTCACTCACTTTGTCACCGTTGTTCCCGACACAGCGAACTTGCCGGCTCCTGTGGCCCCGTCCGCACCTCACAGAGCACTGGGAGGGAAAGGGAAATCTGAGGAGCTGGGATTTCTGAGCACCCAGCCTTCTGCTCTGTGGCTTTTGACCCAACCTCTGCCTTTGATCCCCAACCGCCATCACATGGCTTTACAGGCTGAGGAGGAGGCTGAACAGGGCTCTGGGACCTCAAGCCCTGGTTCAGTCTCTCACCTGACTATATAGATAAGGGTTCCTTTTGAGACCCTGTTTGTAAAAAGTTTCTGCTGATGAGAAAGAAAGGTGGTGGGAAAACCACCACTGTAGTTCACAGGTGCCCACTACTCTAGGGTCCTCCAAAACCCAAGAGCCTCCTTGGTGGGGCCAACTCACCTGGCTCCAGGGGGAGCCAACCTCCCAATGGCCACAGAGGCGCAGCTGACAAGGCTGGGTGATGTTAGGCCGGGGGAGGTGTGCACAACGCTCCAGAGGCACTGAGGAGCCACCTCCACCAAACTCCTGCCGGCAGAGCAGCTGGCGGTGCTGGGTGCCAGGGCCACAGGAGCGGCTGCAGGATGTCCATTCACCAGCCTCCCAGCTATAGCACAGGCAGGGCAGGGGAAGAGGCAGACACAGGTGAGAGGTGTAGAGGGTGCCACAGCAGGGGAGAAGAAGGGAGACAGACACACTGGGGGTGGAGGCCCCTCAGAGAAGCACTGGAGTCTGGGTTCCTTGTGGGAGCTCAGGCTGCCAGTGTTTTGGGGTATCTACAGAATGTCAGCCTTTTTTTTTTTTTGAGACAATCTCAAGCTGTCACCTTGGGTAGAGTGCTATGGTGTCACAGCTCATAGCAACCTCAGGCACTCGCCACAGCACCTGGCTATTTTTTGTTGTTGTGTTGCAGTTGTCATTGTTGGTTTAGCAGGCCCCAGGCTGGGTTTGAACCTGCCAGCCCCAATGTATGTGGCCGGTGCCCTACCCAATGAGCTACGGGCACCACCAGCCTTTCTTTTTTTTGAGACAGTCTCACTCTGTTGCATGGGCTAGAATGCAGTGGTGGAGTGATCACAGCTCACCAGCAACCTCAAACTCTTGGGGTTCAAGCGATCTTCCTGCTTCAGCCTCCCAAGTAACTGGGACTAAAGACACCTGCCACACCCCACTAATTTTTCTATTTTTTGTAGAGACCAGATCTCACTCTTGCTCAGGCTGCTCTTGAACTCCTGCTCAACCAATCTTCCTGCCTTGGGTTCCTAGAGTGCTAGAATAACAGGCATGACCCACTGTGACCAGCCTCCCTTTCTAATCTAATATTGTGTCTGCCACCAAAAATGCCATGTTGAATGCAGAGTTCAGATAAGATCTTGGGGACAGCATGTGGGTGTTTGTCCCAGTGGTAGTTGCTGTGTTTCCACCCTCTCTGTGTGCCAGTACTCACTATGGGGGGCAGGGGGAGCTGTGGCAGGTCTCTAGGGAGGCTGGAGGCCTGGCACCCACAGCACAGCTGCGTTCATCCAGTTCATCTCCCGACTCACGAGAAATGCAGAGGAAAATGGGGCGCCAAACACCTACAGGGGGCGAGAGGGCAGCCAGGGATGGCAGGATGGCTCAGAGCCTAGTTTCAGTGGGGTCCCAGATGCTAGCTGGAGGTGGAGTCATGAGTGTCAGGCTGGGATTTGGGCTGAGGGTGCTGGGGATGCAGACATGAAGCCTTACCTTTGCCACAGGATGCGGAGCACTCAGAATGTCCCACTCGTTTCCAGAATCCAGCAGGAGACCCCAGGGGTATCCTGGGGTGGGGTGGAGCAGGCATCTGGGGGATCCGCACCTGACGCTGGAGGGTGCCTGGGGTCCTGGCAGGGCGGGGCGCAGAGCCAGATGGGAGCTCCACCCTCAGGATCTCTGTGCAGGGAGCCCCATGGGCAAGTCAGGTGGCTCCCCACTGCCTCGGAGCTCCCCTCAAAGCCTTTCCCTCCTCTTCCAGGTTTAGGGATCCAGTCTTACCAGGTTGAAGTTGAGAGACAGGGGGCAGTGGGCTGGGCCTCTCAGAGACTGGAGGAGAAGAGATGACATACTGATAAAAAACACCTGGGTTTTCCTCCTGAAAGATCATCTGGTGAAAAGAGAGGGTGGTGAATGTTTGGGGTGTCAAGAGGGACATGCCACCATCTCTGTCTCCCATCGTGACACCCACAGCTCTACCTTTGGAGACCTCTCTCCCCAGCAGCACAGCCGCCCCAGGCCCCAGACTCACATAGACATCTACAGGCTGGGTGGTGGGGCCCTCAGCTGTTAGGCTCTCCCCTTTGCCCTCCTCCCGAGGAGGACGGTGATATCTGAAGACAGTCCCACCAGCTGTGTAGGACCCAGGGGGATCCACAGCCCAGTTCCCATTGATGATGGATTGGCCCCCAGGCCCTCGAAGTGCTGCAGTTGGGAGATGGGAGATCAGAAAGATTCAAGGTTAGTAATACCTTCCTCCTCTCCCATTTCTCGAGCCTATAGAAGCTCCCACTCTAGGGCACCCCAGGCCCTCTCAGCTTCTGGCCTCCACCAAGGGAAGAAGGCCTTCTCCTTGTTTGGCTTGTTCACTGTGCTGAAGGGGGGGTGGGGGCAGGCAGAGTGGAGAGATCAGGAAGGGCGCAGAGGCAGCCCATGCTCACCAAGGTAGTTGGAGCTGGGCCGAAGCTGGGCAATCTGGAGCTGGGAGGCCCCAGCAGGAATCCTCAGAACCTTCTGATAGCCCAGAGGACCCCCTCGGTTGGTGAGATTTCCCGAAACAAGGCGACAGGTAGAATCATCACCCCCACAGACTCCACAGCCATCTGGACGCCTGCCAGAGCCAAGGATCCCATCACAGCCAGGGCTCTGGAGAGAGTGAGATGAGGCAGGGGCCACGCGGAAGCCAGACATCACCTCACACCCACCCTGGTCCACCTGGGACCCACAGTCACCACCTGTGTTGCTGTTTGTGCTACAGGTGAGAGCATGTTCCTTTGTCACCCCCACCACCTCCAGCCAGACACAGGGACGCATGTATGAGCCTATTAGGGTCAGGGTTTTGCTTAGCCCACCTTGACAAGTGAGAATCTTCCCTTGGTAATCTTAGTCTGTTTGGTGTTTTGTTGTAATCAGGAATGTGTGTGTGCTTGGGTGTGCACACTCTGTCCTCCCTCACCAGACAGTGTCCAGCCACACAGATGTCTGGGGTTCCAGGCTGACACAGGGTCCCATCCTGGACCTTTTCGGTGTGACGGACATAGAAGCGGAAACCACGGGGACGGCAGTTCAGTTCACAGCGTTGGGAGCCCTGGACTAAGGCACAGGATAGAGGGTGGTTAGCTGGGGCATGTGGGGCAAAGCCCAAAGCCTGGCAGCAGCTTTGCCTAGATGAGCTATGAGCACTAGCTCACTACGGATAGAAGGAACATGACAATTCCAAACAGTGAAAAGCTGGTCAAGTCAACTGAGGTCACTAAGACCATCAAGGGAGTTCTGAACTGAAAGAGGAGAGATCCTTAACACTGATGATTATGTGAGCTCAGAGTTCATGAGAGCTGGTCCTGGATCAAGTTGTCATGGGCCTAAAATCAAGTGGATGGCAACTTGGGAGCACTTGATACAACAGCACCTAGGATCCATGGCACCCCCACCCTGCTGTCACCACTGGGGAACATCTCTCCAACCATGGCCCTCTTGTGTAACATCTACCCCACCTCCAGGGATGGACTTCTTCCTGAAGAATCCAGATAAAGTGAACTCTGGACAACTACCCCTCCTAGGCTGACCATCTACAACCATCCAGCAGCTATAATGATCCTGTCTGGAAGCCCTTCCCCTTTTCAGGCCTGTGTTGAGTCTCCTCACCCCAGCCCTAGGGAAAGAAAGAAGGGCCTACATGGAGAACAGGGGGCTAGGAATCTTTCAGGGCTGGGAGTAACCAAGTGTCTCCTTCCCCCCTTTAGCCCCAATCCTGAGCCTCCCCTGCCCAGCAGTTGAACTAGAAACCTCACCTTCTGTGAAGGGCTCCCACTGGTACAGCTGGCCCATGAATTCCTGGGAGTCAAAGGCTGCACACTGCAGGGCCCGGGGGTCAGGCTGCTCAGGGGGGCAGGGCTGAAGTGGGGGATACAAAGTAGTCAGAGCTAGGGAGGGAACAGGGGTGTGGGTCAGGACTGAATTTAGGGAGCAAGAGGGAGGGCTCCGGGTATGGAAGAATTCTGAGGCCCCTACTCTGAGGGGCCAGATACCCAGGCCCTTCTCCCTCAGGTCCAGACCAGTCAAGCTGAGAACCCGGACTTAGTGTCAGGGAAGCAGAAGTGGAAGTCTGGGTGGGGGTCCAGGAAAGAACTCACTGCTTGACTGCAGGCTCTCAGCTGCTCACTTTCCCCAGAACATCTTGGGACAAGGCTACTGGAAGCAAAGAGGCTCCACAGGGAGCTGGAGTGGGGGCCAGCACTCAGCAGAGGCAGCCAGCCATCTGAGTGGTGAGGGACAGACTGTATGCCCCTGTGAAGATTCCCCTCAGATCTCCCATGCCCCTGCCTCTGCCAGCTCCGTCCCTGAGGTACAAAAGGGAAAGGATCGGGGTATCTCCCTGATACCTGGGGACTGGCCCAACCCTGAGAACTTTGGATTCTCTGCTGAAGGGTTGCATGGAAGAAGCCACTTTCTGTTAAGGAGGGAGTGGGCGAGGTAGGCTCTGTGCCAGCAGCCTTGGCTCCATGGTGGGGCTGTTGGGGAGCCTGCCTGGTTTGAGGGGACACTTCTGTCTGAGAAGTTTCAGGGCTTAGGGGTTCTACTGGCGGTGATGGCGTGTAGACAGACAGTTCTATAGGAGGGAGCTGAGTTTGGGGTCTGTGGTTTGCAGAGGTTGGCTCTGCTTTTGGAGTCAGGGATGGAAGGGACTCCTCCCCTCCAGAAAAGGTCTGGGAAAGCTCAGGTCTGGGCGGCCTCCGGGGGTGCCTGCGGTTCCGATGCAGTGGCAATGCAAAGGGCACTCTTCCATAGCCAAACATTCCTGGCTTGATGGGGTCTCGAACCCGGGACCTGAGAAGGTATTATAGAAGACACGGGGTCACAGCTCTGGCCATCTCTTGCCCTGTGTCCCCAGTCTACTTCTGGGCACCAAAGATTAAGTGTTCCTAAGCCATGTGTCCTTTCCACCCTTTTCCTTCATTCTGAGCCCCACCCCTTGCCCAAGGCCTCCCTTAAAGCCTCACCTCCTGGCCCCATGAATCTCATGAGTCTCCTCTCTCCCTACTTGGGAAGCAGGACCTCGAAATGGGCCGCCTCTTTCCCGAGGCTGTGGCCTGTAGAGGGGGATCGTTTCTCGGATCTGGGGTCTGGGTCTCTGACCTGGAGAAAGGAGGGCTTCTGAGTGTCTTGGGGGCTGGGGGTGGAGGGGCAGGCTTGGATGGAGTTGAGCTATAGGAAGCTGACATGTCCGGGTCCTGTGCTGCACTCCTATCCCACAGGGCTGGGAGCAAGAGGCCCACTGGTCCCAAGGTCCCCAGACACCCTCAGGGCTCTGGCCCTCCTCAAGAGGTGTCTGAAGAGATTGTCCAGACAACACCTAAATAGAGAAAAAAGGTCAGACAAAATTAGGATAATCTTAGAGGGAATTGTACAGAGTACCTATCCAGTCCAGAGATTGAGGCTCTAGGAGTTGTTACTGGCCCAGAGTCATATTCAATACTAGAGGCAAGGCTGGAACTTGGAGAGAGCTGGTGGAGAGGCTGGGTGGGCCAAATGTGATTGGAAGGGGCCTTGGCTTAGCAGAGGCTATGGAAAATGGAGGCGTGGCCTGGAGAGGTTATGGGAGATTGGGGGGGGTGATGGGATCACAGACAGGCAGCAGCTGCTCACCTGTCCAGAGGTCAACTCCAGATCCAGGCAGAGCTGAGGGAAGGACAGGAGCAGCATCAGACACAGCTGGGACCTGCAAGCCAGAGGCAGGAGGTGGGGGGGGTCAGACTGGACCCAGAGGAGGCGTTGCAACACTGCTCCCTCCCCCAGCAGGCACCCCACTTCCTGACAGCTTCTCAGAAATTAGAAGCTGGGCAGGGCCTATGGCTTAGTGAGTAGGGTGCTGGCCCCATATACCAAGGGTGGCAGATTCAAACCCAGCCCCGGCCAAACTGCAACAAAAAAATAGCTGGGCATTGTGGCAGGCGCCTGTAGTCCCAGCTACTCGGGAGGCTGAGGCAAAAGAATCGCCTAAGCCCAGGATTCGGAGGTTGCTGTGAGCAGTGTGATGCCACGGCACTCTACCCACTCTACCGAGGGCAATAAAGTGAGACTCTGTCTCTACAAAAAAAAACAAAAAAAAAGAATTAGAAGCTGCTCACCATTTCCCCTACTCCTCCCAGTGGTTCCCTTTCCCTCACTTTTAGAGGCAGAGCTATTCCTCCACCCATGTGTCCCTCTTACCTGCTCACCCACTTCTCCATACTCCTCCCTGGATTGTCACAGGGCTGGCGAGGAGGGGAAAGGACACAAACTCTACTCAGGCATTCGGATGAGGAACTGTGCACGCTGCAGGGACAGAAGCCTGGTGGCCCCCTCTTTAGGCTCTGGCTGGGAAGGATGACTCCTCCATGGACCTCTCAGAGAGGATGGATCACCCTTATGAAGCTAAGGGTGGGAGCAGGAAGGAATGTTGCCTTTGTTCATCCGCAGAGGCTACAGGGTGGAGTCTGACCTCAGCCTCCCAATTTAAGACTCACACTCCCTCCCCAGGGTCCTATAAGAGCTTCTCAGCTCCTCCCTAATTCCCACCTAGGGGCTGCTCTGGGCTAACTCAGGCACACACAGGCAGGCTCTTTCCTAGGGTGGTTTTCCATCCAGCTCCCATTCCTGCCCCCCAACGGTAACTAGAAAGTGAGGAGGAAGGCTAGGGTTAGAATATGCCAGACACCCACTCTGAGGATCTGACAAGATACCCCTTGGGTTTTCCAGAAGCAAGACCTTCCCAGCCATCCCTGTGGCTACCTGCCTCCCAGCTTCTCCTCTTATCTAAGCTTAGGGAACAGGTAGGCACATCTCTGCCTGCCTCAGACACTTTTTGGCCAAGGGATAAACTAAATGGTTTAAGCTCTAGAGAAGAAACCAGTGATTTAACCTCCCCTATGGGTGCCAGCAACCAGCACTGGTTCAGCGAAGGCTTGTTTCCTGCGCAGGTATAAGGGCTGGGGGAACCTGGGAAGGAGAGGTGCAGCTGGGGCCGCCCTTGTTCCCCGCTCACAGGCCTCACATTCTGGAGAGCCAGCCAGTCCGTCCTGAAGTCTAGCTTTAACACTGAGGGAGTGTGGCCTGCAACCCTCCCCTGGCCTTAAAGCTTGACTCTCTCTACCCATCCCCTTCCCACCCTCACCCTCATCCTACTCTAACTTCTGCTTTCCAGGAAAAAAAGAACCATTTCTGTTGGATCTGAAAGGCACCCAGGAGAGGAATCCAAGGAGTCATTGCAGAGGTGGGCCGGCTCAGGGACAGGAAAATGACAGAGGGAAGAGTAAGAACATTCAGTTCCACTCTCCTCCCCTCCCTGACAGCCCAAGGCACAGGAATTTGAGGGAGGGATCAGAATGGCTAAGCCAGAATGCGTAGGGTCACCTTGGCTGCTTGGATTTGGGGAAGGGACTGCTAAAGGCCACTTCTTGCCCAGGTTGGGCTTGGCACTGAAGTCCCCAAGTCTGCCCTGACAGGAGTGAGAAATCAGATTCTCTGGAGAAGGGCCTGAGCTCCACCAAGACCTTCAGCTGGCTGTCTGACTCTGTTACTTGAGGTTGAAGGGAAGGAGAGTTAGGGGTCACTGTCTGCTCCTTCTCATGCCGGGTCCCTTCTCTAATCCCTCTCTGCTTCTGCTTCTCTCTGCCACCCCAGGTCTCTCCTTGCTTCCTCTCTGCGGGTCTACCCAGTACACATAATCCTGTCCTGGGCCGGGTTTGGCTTTGGCAGTTCCCTGGAGAAGTGAGGGGTGGGGGTGACGTGAGCTCCTGGGGCCCAGGCCAGGCCTGGCTCCCTCTCTGGAAAAGTCCCATCCCACCCTCCCCTGCACAGCTGGGCAGGGGGCCCATACCCCCTTCCTCTGTGGAACATGATACACATTTATGCTTTTCACCCCTTTTCATGCCTTTCATCTGGTGTCTCTCGCTGCCTGGGGTAAGGAAAGTAGAGGTCAGAAGTGGTGCTCGGGGCCAGGCTGGACCCTGGTCTGAACAAACCTGGGCTCCTCCTGGTCACACCCAACTAGCCAGTGAAGGTCTCTACCTGCACAGGACTAACCCCCTTCAGCCCTGGAGGGACTCACCTCTGGGTAATGGGGTATTGCTGGGGGAGGAGGCTGGACAGTATGTGTCTGGGCTCTGGTGGAGAGTCCCTGTCCTGCTTAGAATTCCTGGTCCTCCTAGGGCCCTCCACTGCAGGGTCCTGGAGGACCATCCCAACAGGTGTCTTTTCTTCCTGGTCAACCTCTTCCACCATCAGGCCTGAGCTAAATCAAGGACACCCACCTGCATCCCTCCAGCCCTATCCCTAACCCCAGGAGTGAGGATGGGGTGTTGAAAGTACACGCCCTCCAAGAGCCCGCAACCAGAGAAGGAGGGCGGGAGGAGTTGGAGCGCGCAGGGAAGTCTAGAGTATGTTTTCCAATTTTACTATGTGACTTAGTAGGAATTTTGGCTCATTCCCCGCCTCGGGCGATGGGGCCAGAGTTCCAAGGGATCAGACCCCCTCCCCAGGAATTCTACCCCAAGGGTTGGAAGATCTTTCGAGGCAATCAGAGCTGGAGATAGGGTCGTGGCGGGGGGTCGAGCTCTCTGCTGAGGGAGCGGGGCCGACGTGGGCTCGCGGAACGGGCAGTCTAACGGGATCGCTGGAGAGTACCTATCCAGGCGGCGGGACGAGGACTCAGGGAGGGTCCCTACCTGCTCTGCGCGCCCCCAATGTCCGGTTAACCCTTCTGCGCTCTCTGGAGGCAGCCTTGCTCCGCGGCTGCCACTTCGGCCCCTGAGACGGGCTACGGACACTGCCGCCTCGGGCCGCGACTCCGCCCTCGCGCCCCGCCCCCGCCAGCGCCAGCGCCCCACCCGCCCGGCACGCGCCCCTCAGCGGCCCAGGGATGGAGCCGCTGACCCCGCAGCCCTCGCCGGCCAGGGCCACCCACGCGGGGACTGCGGGCCTCGGCAGCCCTTGCGCGTCTGGGCGCCCCCGGACGACTAGAGGAGGAGAAGCCCAGACGGTCCCATCCTGGATCCGAGGCAGCTGTCGCTCGTGGGCACTGTTCCTGGGCCCGCCTGGGGCCCACGACTTCAGCGCTCTGGGCTTCCGGACCGGCTATGGGAAGGCGACGGGACGGCCTCGAGGGCCTCCACGGGACCGGGTAAGCCTGCGGCTCGGCGGCCCGCACAACCCGCGGGGCCGAGAGCGGGCTGCGCCCTGGACCCCAGTAGCCCTGAGTGACCCCGGATCTGCGTCTGTCAAGGTCCTCTCCTCCATGCGGTCTCCCTTGCAAACCCAGTTACCCTGCCTCTCCCACGTTGGGCAGCGAACCGTGCGGTTCTGGTTGTGGGGGACCTCTGTGAGCTTCTGTTTCTTCATCCGTAAAATTTTATACTGAGGACTTAGCAGAAAGAAAGCGCGCTGACCTATGAGTCAGACTGATCTGGATTTGAATGTCAGCTCTAGCACCTGCCAGTTCTGTGTTCTTCGAAGAATAAATACTCCAGCCTCTCCGTGCTGCAGTTTCTTTACCTGTGAAATGGGGCTAATCTGATACGTGAGACAGGCTTGGAGATATCTGTTTATGCACCCCAAGCTGGGTAGTGTTGGTAACATCTGGGGACGGGCGCAGGGTTTGGAAGGAAAGAAAAAGGCTTTTGGGGCTTGGAGCCTGTAGCTCAGCTGCAGGAGCGCTAGACACATGCACAGAGCTGGCTGGTTGAACCCAGCCTGGGCCTGCCAAACAGCAATGACAACTGCAACAACAACAACAAAAATAGCCAGCGTTGTGGCGGGCGTCTGCAGTCTCAGCTATTGGGAGACTGAGGCAAGAGAATCATTTAAGCCCAAAAGTTTGAGGTTTGTGAGCTCATGGCACTCTAGTGAGACTCTGTCTCAAAAAAAAAAAAAAAAGAAAGAAAGATAAAATGAAAAAGGCTTTTTGGCCGGTCCTGGTGGCTCACGCCCGTAATCCCAGCACTCTGGAAGACTGAGGTAGATGGATTGCTTGAGCTCTCAGATTGGAGACCAGCCTGCGCCAAAGCAAGACTCCTGTCTCTAAAAATAGCCGGGCATTGTTGCCGACTCCTGTAGTCCCAGTTACAGGAGTGAGGCTCTTTCTGTTTTTTTCTCTGTGTTAGTATGTTGTTTGAATTTTCTACCCATAAGTATTATCCATGTATTAGTTACCTTAAATATACACAAAATGATTGGCACAAATAGATAATAAATGGTCATTACTATTTTTAATTTTTTTTTTTTTT